GCCGCCGGCCTTGCCGCCGGGTTGTTGTATTGAGGCGACTGCCTCGCGACGGGGGGATATGTGCGCAGAATCTGCGGATGCAAGAAACACGGCATTGCCGCCAGACAGCGTACCAAAGGCAGCGAACCGTGGTAACGCTGGCAATGCGCGGGTGCGGAGGACTGCCGTCCGTGCCGCCATGCTGTGTCCTTGAGGGCACTGCCTCACGACAGGGATACGCGGCGTAGAAACTGTGGACGCGAGAAAGCCAGCACTGCCGGCATCCAGCGCCCAAAAGAAAACGAAACGTGGTGATTGGAAGGATGCGAGAACGCGCAGGGTGGCCGGCTTTGCTTCTGGGCCACGTCCTTGAGGCAACAGTCTCGCGACGGGAGTGGGCGCGCATAAGTCTGCAGACGCACGATGGCTAGCGTTGCCGCCAGCCTGCGTCCATAAGGCGGCGAACCTTGGTAGCGGTGCGCCGTGAGAAGTTTCAGGACCGCTGGCCTTTCCGCTGGGCTGTTTCCTTGAAAGCGTGAAAAACGGCATTGTCGCCAGACAGCGCCCAACAAGAGACAAACCGTGGTTGCCAGTGCCAAGTGAGAATGTGCAGGACCGCCAGCCCTGCCGCTGGGCGAGTCAACGGCCTTGCGACGGGGGTAGGCGTGCACAAGCTGCGGACGCACGATGGCTTTCACTGCCGCCAGCCAGCGCTTCGAAGAGGATGAACCTTGGTAGTGGGTCGACGTGAGAGTGTGCAGGACCGCCGGCCTTGCCGCCGGGCTGCGTCCTTGAGGCATCTTCCTCGCGACGGGGGTAGGCGCGCAGAATCAGCAAATGCACGCAAACTGGCAGTGCTGCCAGGCAGCGCCCGCAGGAATCGATCTGGGAGAACGAGGGGGCCGTGAGTGTGCAGGACCGCCTGCCCTGCCGTCGGGCAGTGTCCTTGCGACGACTGCCTCGCGACGAAGGCAAACGCGCAGAGTCTGCGGATGCACGATGGCCGGGCACTTCCGCCGCTGCTACGGGCACGAGAGGCGGGTGCCCGTGCTTGTCCACCGACGCGGAGTGGCTCCGGGGCCCTTGCGGCCCTGCCCGCTTAGGGAGCGCCGTTCCTGCCCGGAGTGTGTGGGCAGGAGGTCCCGAGCCACCGTCGTCGGGCCCCTCGCTGGAATAGGGGGCTGCCCACGGATGCTCTTCGAACTCAGGGAGCTGTTAATGGCGTTCCGTGCGTCCCACGGGCTTTCCCCGTTCTTCATTACCCAATATCGAGTCGAATGGCGTCGGCATGGGGGGGAGCAGTAGGGAGGAGAACGTGGAGGACGAGGAGGAGTAAAATGATAATGCGGATGGTGATAATGATGCTGATGAAGATGATGGTGGTGATACTTGATGATGGCGGTAACGTGGATTTTGCTGATGCGGATGGTGGTTTACTGATGCCGATGATGATGCTGATGACGATGGCACTGATAAGGATGAGGTGGGTGATGATGGTGATGCTGCTTTTTACGATGATGGCTACGACGGTGACGATGGTGCTGATGATGGTGATGAATCTGATGCTGCTGCTGCTGCTGATGATGGTGATGTTGATGATGACCCTGATGATGTTGATGATGCTGATGATGCCGCTGATGGTGCTGATGATAATGAAAGCAGAGGCTGAGGCTGAGGCTGACGATGCCGACGTCGTAACTCGAGCCTGCGCAGGGGAGCGGCCCGGCTGGCCCCCCAGGGCCTGCGAACAGCTTCAGCACGAGATGAGCACGCGCGCACGGGGACCTTAACAACCGCAGAGGTGCTACAGTCAACCCGCATAGTTGCCCTTGCGTCCTTCCCCTGCTTGCGCTGGCCGCGCCCCACCCGCATATTGTAGAGATGACCTTCCAAGGCCGTTGCATCCTTCTCGTTCGTGCTCATCATACGGTTTGACTATAAACCCTCGCCGCGCAAGGGTCAGCAAGTGGCCGAACTCCTCGCCGCGCAAGGACAAGAAGTGGCCCAGCCCCTCGCCACGCAGCGGAAGAACAAGTGGCCTAACCCATCGCCGCGCAGGGAAGTATTCGCCATGACCATTATTATAAATCCCATACCTCTCGTTCGCGCGCTCGCCGGAGCGAGAGCCTTGGCATACGTGTTTCGCACAATAATTGTATCGGAGGTTCTGGGGTGAGATCGCGGTGAATCGGAGACCCCCCACCGGGAAATCGGTTTCGGTTTCGTGTTCGTGTCGTGCGTGCGGGCGAGGCGAAGCTGCGCGTGATCCTCCTGAAGCTAGGCCGAAATAGGAGCGAAAGTCCGTTCCCGTCCGCCGGTGGCTGGGAGGTGTCCCAGTTGGGCCGGGCGGTGTCCCGGGTGTCCCGGGTGTCAGTAGGAGCGAAAGTTCGTTTCCCGTCCGCCGGTGGCCGGGAGGTGTCCCAGTTGGGCCGCGGTGTCCCGGGTGTCCCGGGCGTCCCGGCGCTAACGCATGTCGCTAATTTCATAATTCATTTTTTCGGCGCCTGCGGCGGGCTTTCTTATCCAATCCAGCTAGCTTATCTTATCCAATCCATCTTGTCCAATCCAATCCATCTTGTCTTATCCAAACCAACTTGTCCCATCTTATTTCATCCCACCCAATCCAATCCACCGAGAGAGGGAAAGAGAGAGATCGAGGTGACAGGCTGGAGGTCAGTCAGGGTGGGAATTTGATTTTAATCCCTCCCCAACCTCCTTATTGCCCGCAGGGCGGTCGTATAGGTACTATACTACAACGCCAACCCTGATCTCCGAGAAAACTGCGAGCACGACGGAGGGCAATCCAACCTCCGAGAAAAGCGACGCCCGCGATGGGCAGATGATCCCCAGAAGCCTGTGCAACACCAGGATGCCGCAGATGGGTAACTCCAACGTATGGCGAATGCAGTGCGATGTTTGTGCCCCCTCTCAGAATACAGCCAGAAGCGGTAGCCGTGATTGGAGTGCGCCTAAGGGTGGGGTCGGTCAGTGCCAGGGCCGGGCCCTCACGGCTTCTCTTCCAAGACGTCCAAGAGCGACCAGAGCTTCAGACGACGTGGAAAGCAGCAACGCGAAAGCCGACGTACAAGACCACCAAGCCTCCTGTGTCGAAACACGCCGAGGACGGGGATGGTGCGGTACTGCTGAACTCCACTGCCCAGCGCCAGCGCTCCTGCCAGCAAAATATTCAAGACATGAACTATGCGAGTCAACACTGATCACCCCTGGCCCAGCCGTGCGAACGCAACCCAGACTCCACAAACATGTGAAAAGTGTCCGCTCTGCACTTTGTACAGTTTCGCCATAGCGATCTGCAACGCGTAAGAGACGATGCGATGCCACCCAAGCGCCCCGTTGTGGTATTTGATGCGATTGGGAAGCTACGCTGGCCGAGCAAAATGCTACTGACGAGCCTCGAGCCAGTGCCCGAATGGAGGAAGAGGAGGAGGAGGAGCAGGATGAGAAGGAGGAGGAGCAGGAGGAGGAGGAGCAGGAGGAGGAGGAGGAAGTGGACCAGTGTAAACCCACGACTCATCAACGATGTTGGACTACATCCTCCCTCCAAGCTCCCTCTTCAAGGCTCCTACAAGGGCTCATCTCCACTGAGGAAAGTGCCCCGTTGGAGGACAACAGTGTGAAACTCCCGACGCGTGCCATAACAACATCCTCAAGACTTCGACGCCACGAATCAACCTGACAGTTGAATCTTGACGATCCTAGATCGTGCCAGAAACATCATTCCTTGGACTTCAGCCCCGCGAATCAACGTGTCTGTTGTGCCCTCACAATATTGAGCCGTTCCAAAACACGTGTTCTGCTACGTTAACTTTGCGAACCAGTGAAGCTCTTGCGCATTTTTGAGACGAATGTGCGCGGCGCTGTGGCGAGAGCCACATTTTGAACACCACCCGCCCTCACTCCGTGAAGCTCTTGTGGTACTTTACGAATGTGCACGTCGCTAATGCGAGAGCCACATATTGACAACGACCCGCCCTCAATCCATGAAACTCTTGCAATTTCCAAAAAGACGAATGTGCGTGGCGCTAAGGCGAGAGCCACATGTTGGAAGCGACCCGTTCTCCATCTGTGACATTGGTGTCAGTTTTTGAGCTTCAGGCTCATGACTGCTAAGGAACTCTCAAGGCGAAACATTCTTCCCGCCCTTCCGACTGGCCTCGGGGTGCGACGGGGAGGAGTTGTTCATCAGGAGAAGGAACGGAGGAGGGGAGGGATGACGATGATGGTGATGACGATGATGCTGCTGATGATGAGGATGAGGATGAGGATGATGATGCTGATGATGATGATGCTGCTGATGCTGATGATGATGATGATGATGAGGATGAGGACGATGAGGATGAGGATGTTGAGGATGATAATGAGGATGACGATGCTGATGATAATGAGGATGATGACGATGATGCTGCTGATGATGATGATGTTGATGACGATGATGATTGTGATGATGATGCTGATGCTGCTGATGATGATGATGATGCTGATGCTGATTCTGATGTTGATGATGATGAAGCTGATGATGATGATGATGATGATGTGATAATGATGATGATGCTGATGATGATGATGATGATGGCGATGATGCTGCTGATGCTGCTGCTGATGATGATCATTGGGAGGAGGAGATGATGATGATGATGATGATGATGATGATGAGGATGAGGATGAGGATGAGGATGAGGATGAGGATGATGATGATGATGATGATGATGATGATGATGATGATGATCATGATGATGATGATGCTGCTGATGATGATGATGCTGATGATGATGATGATGATGATGAGGATGAGGATGAGGATGAGGATGATGATGATGATGATGATGATGATGATGATGATGATGATGGATGGTGATGGTGATGGTGATGGTGATGATGATGGTGAGGAGGAGGAGGAGGAGGAGGAGGAGGAGGAGGAGGAGGAGGAGGGGGAGGAGGAGGGGGGGAGGGAGGATGATAATGAGGAGAGGGAGGGGGAGGGAGGAGGGAGGGGGAGGCAGGCGACATCCTGTATCGGCAGCACCGGCACGCCGAGTGCCAGCACTACCTCCAGAGGCTGGTTGAGACCAACTGCTCCGCCGACTATAAGACCGGAGCTCTGTACCTCCTCGCGAAGTCGCACGTGTCCCTGGACGAGTACGAGGATCGAAGAAAAACAAACAAACATAAACATACACTTATGCCGCTCCGCGCGGATTTCTTGCATCGGCGCCTGGGCCCTCCTGGCGGCGCCTCCCGCGACGCCCCTGGCGCGCTCCGCGCGCCAGGAAGGGGGGTCCAGCGCAGATCCAAGAAATCCGCGCGGAGCGCCAACAGTTTATGTTTATGGCGTTTTTTCTTGCTCTAGAGGAGGCCGAGAAGCACGCGCGGGCTGGGCTGGCCCTGAAGCCGAACCATCCCCACTTCCTGTTCATCCTTGCCCTGGTGAAGAACAGGCCCCCCGCCTCCTCCTCCTCCTCCTCCTCCTCCTCCTTCCTCCTTCCTCCTCCTCCTTCCTCCTTCTCCTCGTCCTCCTCCACCTCCTCCTCCTCCTCCTCCTCCTCCTCCTCGTCCCCCTTCTGCGTGAGGATGGCCGACTACGACGCCTCCATCGAGACGCTGAAGCTGGCCCTGCAGCACTGCGACCAGGCCGAGAGTGACCAGCTGCGGGTCGAGATCCACGACTGGCTCGCGCAGGCCTACGAGCGGAAGCAGGACTACCCCGCCGCGCTGGCGGAGCTGGAGAAGTCGCTGCAGAAGGACCCTCACCGTAAAGAAGAGGGGCCCTGAAGTTTGTTCACTTTTGGGCTCTCCGCATACTGGGGCCACGGGAGCGTTCAGAAACGACTCAGGATGAAGCGCAGGTCCCGAGGAATGCCTCGGGGACCACGACAACGATTCAGCATAACCTTTCGGAGATCCGCGCGGGCTTCCGAAAGTTAGTGTTCATGTCGCTCTTGTATCCCTCCCTCGTGAGGACCCGTCGCACGTCTCGTCGCTAATTACCCGTGGCCTCGTGAACATCCACATGAAGCAGCTCGTCCAGGCCGACTCGGACTTCAGGCGGGCGCTAGCGATGGAAAAGAACCACGCGCTGGGGCTCGTCAGGCTGGGCTACTGCAAGCTGCTCGCTAGTGAGCACACGGAGGCAACCCAGCTGCTCCAGCGCGCACTGCAGCAGCGCTGCGGCACAGTGGCTCTGCCCAAGTCCGTCAAGGGCTGCGCCCGCATCTATCGCGACCGCCTCGCGGCAAACGACGCCCCTCTGGCTGCGACTGTCCCGCCCCTGAAGTGGAGGGGGAGGGCGAGGTGGAGCCAGGGAGGAGGGGGTGGGGTGCAGGGCGTGGGACGGAGGAGGGAGAGGGGGACGGGGACGCTGAGGACGAGGGGAGGAGGAGGAGGAGGAGGAGGAGGAGGTGCAGGAGGAGGAGGAGGAGGAGGGGGAGGAGGAGGAGGAGGAGGAGGCGTCTCGCTTGGCTAGGGTGCCAGCCTCGTCGATCGCGCGCGCGTTGGCCGTCGCCTCGTGGCTCGGCAGGCGCCACTGGGGGTGGGGGGTTGGCGCACGGGGCGTCGACGAGGCGGCGACGGGCGGCGACTCCCCCAAGGCGCTTACCCTCAACCTCCTCCCTCCCCTCCTGCTCCTCCTCCTCCTGCTCCTCTCCTCCTGCTCCTCCTCCTGCTCCTCCTCCTCCTCCTCGTCCTCCTCCTCCTCCTCCTCCTCCTCCTCCTCCTCCCCTCGTCCTCCTCCTTCTCCCCCCCTCGTCCTCCTCCTCGTCCTCCTCGTCGTCCTCGTCGTCCTCCTCCTCCTCCTCGTCCTCTGGAAACGCCAGACAGCGCACGGGCAGGTGATGAGGCAGCCAGCGGCGGGCGGCGACTTGGCGAACGAGACACCAGCCAGCGCGCAGGGCTGCGGCGAGGCAGCGACTGACGGCGATGTGATCGTTTTCTTATTCATTGCTTTGCCGATCGGCGCGGGCCCTCGCACCCCCCCATGGAGTAGATCTTGGCAGTTTTGGGCGCCCGTGTCAAGCCGGTTGAGTCTCCCCCATAGGGCGCACTGCCGCAAACGGCCGCACTGAGCAGAGGTTTGGAGCCAGAACCCCCCCCTCCCCCTTCCGCCCAATGTCAAAACGCTGATAAGCAAACGCTGATAACAAAACAACAAAAAATAAAGCACACATAAAAAACAAGCAACATAGAACATAATTCACAAAACAAACGCTCACGATCCGACGGAGATCTGCAAGCGCCGGCCAGGCGCCGGGCCGCGAGCCGGCGAAGGCCGGCCACGCCGGCCGGCGCGCGGAGCGGCGGGCGACGGGCGGCGACCCCGGGCGAGGGCCCGGAGAGCCAGCCAGCGCACGAGGTGGCGATGGGCGGGCACGGGGCGAAAGGTGGGAAACGGCAGCGAGTGTGATCCAGGGGCAACGATAGAATGGGGGCGCGCATCAAGAAACCCTGTGCTTTTCGTCAGGGTGTCCTGGGTTGCTTCGCTCCTCGCGCTGCGCGGTGACTTCCCGCGGCCGTTGAAGGAGCTGCTGCGCTCAGGGTGCTCCAGGTTTCCGCTCAGGTGCACCTCGCGCGCGGGTTCTCAGGGTTGGGTTTCTTGCGAGGGTTTCTTGCGGCCACGCCCGCTCTGTAGGGGGGGATAGGCACAGGGGGGGATGTATCGACCCCCAATCGCCCATGGATCGCCGATAGGGGCCCTGTAGCCCCAACCTGCCCAGAAAATTCCAGGTCGATGCCCCCCACCCCCCCCCTGTGCCAGTCGCCCCCTATCGTTGCCCCTCAGTGCGGGGCGGCGGCGAGGCAGTTACGGGCGGGGACCAGGCGAAAAACCAGAAACGGCAGCCAGCGCACGAGGCTGCGTCGAGGCTTTGGGCGGGTGGCGACCTGGCGAGAAGTAGGACTCGTCAGCCAGAGCGCGTAGCAGCGACGAGGCGGCGACGGGGTAGCAGCGACGGGTGGCGACCGGGGGGCGACGACCTGGAAACGTCAGCCAGTGCACGCGTCGAGGCATTGACCAGCGGCGAGCAGGCGAAAACCCGCAAACGCCACACAACCATTTACAGGGACAAGCAAGAAACCCTTCGTGCAGTCTTTGTTTCTGGACTGTGAGAGCTCAATGTTTGAAGTCCTTCGGGCGAGCAAATGGGCGAGAGAAGCGGCGGCACCGCCCGATGTTATGGGAGAGAGCGCTCTGGACATCCAGTGGCTAGAGGTGAGGGAGAGAGGCAGAGGGATGTGAAGTGAGGGAGAGGACACGGGAACTGAGATGCAGACGGGAGAGGCAGGGGAGTGGCGTTCTGGTGATGCGGACGACGATGACGATGACGATGACGATGACGACGATGCCGATGGCGGTGACGATTACGATTACGATGATGATGTTGCTGCTGCTGCTGATACTGATGCGGCTGATGATGATGACGCTGACGCTGCTGCTGCTGATGATGATGCTGATGATGATGTTGCTGCTGCTGACGATGGTGATGATGATAACGACGACGACGGCATGGACGACGATGAGGATGATGCTGCTGATGATCATGATGATGCTGCTGATGATGATGACGATGCTGATGATGCTGATGATGCTGCTGATGATGCTGATGGTGGTGATGATGATGATGCTGCAGATGATTACATATGATGATGCTGCTGCTGATTCTGATGATGCTGAGGATGATGATGATGGCGAGGATGCTGATGGTAATGATGATGATCACCATGATGACTTTGATGGTGCTTTGTGATGGTAATGCTGATGGTTATGATGATAATGCTGATGATGCTGATCATGATTCTGATGATGATGTTTGTGATTATGATGAAGAAGCTTCTGATGATGCTGATGACAATGAAGCTGCTGATGCTTATGTTGAGTCTGGTTATGCTGATTGTGCTACCGCTGATGATGAATATGCTGATAACGACCATGATGCTGAGTTTGTTAATGATGACGGTGAGGATGCAGATGGTGATGATGATGATGATGATGCTGATGATGATGATGATGCTGATGATGAGGATGATGATGCTGGTGATGCTGATGCTGTTGATGATGCTGCTGATGTTAATGGTGGCTATGATTATGCTGATGATGCTGATGACGGCGATGATGATGCGGATGCTGCTTTTGATGATGATGATGAAGCTGATGCTGCTACTGCTGATGATGCTGCTGCTGATGATGATGATGATGCTGATGATGACGCTGATGCTGATGATGCTGATGATGAAGATGATGATGAAGACAAGGGTGAGGATGAGCAGGAGGAAGAGGACGAGGAGGAGGAGGAGGCGGAGGAAAAGTAGGAATGACTCTGCTGGCGTAGCTCTCCTATCGCTTGGCTAAGAAACAGGAGGAGGGGGAGGAGGAGGAGGAGGAGGAGGAGGAGGAGCAGGAGGAGGAGCAGGAGGAGGAGGATGATGAGGAGGAGGGGGATGAGGAGGAGGAGGACAAGGACGAGCATTGCGGAAGAGGAGGAGGAGGAGGAGGAGGAGGAGCAGGAGGTTGAGGAGGAGGAGGAGGAGGAGGACGAGGAGGAGGAGAAGGAAGACCAGTGTAAACCCAGGACGAATCATTGATGTCGGAATAAACCCTCCCTCCAAGCTCCTTCTTCATAGGCCCTTACAAGGTTCATGTCCATTGAGGGAACTGCCTCGTTGGGAGGCAACCGTTTAAAGACCATGAAGCGTGCCAGAAGACCATTCTCGGGACTCCAATTCCACGGGTCAACTTGACTGTCGCGTCTTGACGATATTGGATCGCGCGAGAACATCATTCTTGGTTCCTGGGCCTTCAGCACCGCGAATCAACGTAACTGTTGCACCCTCACAATCCTGAGTCATTACAGCGCACCATTACTGGTACGTTGACATTTGGGAATTCGCGGAACCCTTTGAAAGTTTCAAACGAATGTGCGCGGCGCTAAGGCGAGAGCCACATTTTGAACACCACCCGCCCTCAATCCGTGGAACCCTCGCAAGTTGTTACAACACATGTGCGCGGCGCTAAGGCGAGAGCCACATTTTGACAACCAACCACCCTCAACTCGTGAAGTTCCTTGTACATGTTTCAGACGAGTGTGCGCGGCGCTAAGGCGAGAGCCACATTTTGATCCCGATCCGCACAACATCCGTGAAGACCTTGCGTTTTTACAAACGATTGTCGCGGCGCTGAGGCGACAGCTACATTCTGGAAGCGACCCGCCCTCAATCTGTGATACTGTTGCCCGTTTATTAATTTAATCGCTTCGCTCATGCCGCCGGCCCTGGAGCCCTCTTTAGGGCCTCTTGGGGGCCTCTTGGGGACCTCTTGGGAGTCTCTTGGGGCTCCTTGGCGGCGTTTTGGAGGCCCCCAGGGCCTCTTGGGGGGCTCTTGGGGGTAGTCGATTGCGGCTCCCCCCTCGGAGGCCACGATCCTCGTGAGGGGTGTCGAAAAATACCCTCCCCTGGAGTGGTCTGGTGGCTCCTGGGCTTCTCTCGGGACCTTGCCGGGGAACTTTTCGTCCGGGGGCCCCCAGGGGCCGCTCCGCGCGCGCGAACTAGAAATATTGTTAACAAGTTACCGGAGATCTTAGCACGCCTCTGGCCCGTTGGGCCGGCGAACTTTCAGGTCATAGATGGTGCGGAAGTCTCACGCGAAACTGGCCCGCCCTTTCGACCGGCCTCGGGGTGCGACAGGGAGGAGGTATCTTTAAGGAAAAGGATTGTGGAGGAGGAGGAGGAGGAGGAGGAGGAGGAGGAGGAGGAGGGGGAGGAGGGGGAGGAGGAGGGGAAGGAGGAGGAGCAGGACCAGTGTAAACCCAGGACGAATCAACGATGTCGGAATAAACCCTCCCTCCAAGATCCCTTGTCATAGGCCTCCACACGGGATCATTTGCACTGAGGGACTTGCCGCGTTGGGGGACAACCGTGTTAGCCTCGTGAAGCGTGCCCATCATTCTCAGGACTTCAACGCTACGAATTGACCTGACTGCTACGTCTTGGCGATCCTGAATCGTGCAAGAAGGCCACATTTTTGGGCCTCCAGCACCGCAACGTACTTGTTGCGCTTTTATATTCCTGAACCGTTCCCAAACACGTCTTCTGGTACATTAGCCATGAGATCCCGTGTTTTGTTGTTCTAAAAAGAACGTGCGCGGCGCTAGGGCGACAGCCACATTTTGAAAACCAGCCGCCCTCAATCCGTGAAGCTCTTGCAAGTTGTTCAAACGAATGCGCGCGGCGCTAAGGCGAGGGCTACATTTTGGAAACGGCCCGCCCTAACTCCGTAACACTCTTGCAACTGTTTGTAACGAATTCTAGGCGGTGCTGCGGCGAGAGCCACATGTTTGAAGCGACCCGCTCTCAATCCGTGAAACCTCTTTACTAATGTTTGAGCATCAGGGTCAGAAGTGGTGAGGAAGTCTCAGGCGAAACGCCCGGCCCGCCCTTTTGACCGGCCTCGGGGTGCGACAGGGAGGAGTGGGGTACCTATAGGGAGGAGGAACGGAAGAGGAGGAGGAGGAGGAGGGAGGCACGACCAGGAGACGCGAGGGCCCTGCCCTGCAGCAGTGTGGATGGTCAGGAGGGAAAGAAACACAGACACCATCCAATGCCGAACTCCACGACAGTATAGGGAAAACAGGGGAAGTGGGGGGGAATAACTATGGGAACATAGGGGAAGGAGGGGGGGGGGGGGAAGACGAACATCAAGAGCACAGGAGACAATATGGGAAGTGGGGGGGAAGACGAATATTAAGAAGATGCGATAAACATCTGGGGGATCCTGGCATGTGTGTGTATTTATCTGCGTGCTCCTGGGCCCCTTCCGATGGGGGGGGGGCTGGCGGACATGGCTCTCTCCTTCTCCGGGCAGCAGGACACGGACGCCGCCTTCTTCCAGCTGGCCGAGGCGCGGAAGAGCCACAGGCGGCCGGGCTGTTTCCTCGTCGTCGACATTCTTTTTGGGGCACGCGCGGAGGGTGGTATGGGGGAGGGGGGAAGGCTTCTTAGAGACACCCCTGCTTCTTAGAAGGCGCGGGCCTTCATTGTAAATGTAAGGGCAGCGCCTTCTGAGAGGCGGCCTCCTTCTAGACGCCTTCTCCCCTCCCCCTGGCCCCTTTTGCGCGCCGCGCCGCCAACTTTTTTCCTCTCGAGCAGGAGGTGGAGGAGGGATGAGAGGTAGAGGAGGATCAGGGAGTTGGGGGGGGGGGCGATGGAGAAGGGGTGAGTGAGCGAGGAGGAGGAGGAGGAAAAGGAGAGGAGGAGGAGGAGGAGGAGGAGGAGGAGGAGGATGGGTCGAAAGAGGGAGGGGAGGAGGGAGAAGTGGTGAGTGTGCGAGGATGAGTGGGGAAGGGGGAGGAGGGAGGACAGGAGAAGGTAGAGCATGACATATGAAGGGAGACCTCCGAAGGGAGGAGGGGAGGAGGAGGGGGAGGAGGAAGGAGGAGAGAGGAGAGGAGGAGGAGGAGGGAGGAGGAGGTGGAGGTGGAGGTGGAGGTGGAGGTGGAGGTGGAGGTGGAGGAGGAGGAGGAGGGAGGAGGAGAGGAGGAGGAGGAGGAGGAGGAGGAGGGAGGAGTGAGGAGTGAGGAGTGGCTCACCGCGCTCGGCCAGGAACTTCAACGCCGTCTGCACTGGTGCCAAGGACTGGCGCGCGGGGGCGTCATCCCACCAACAGGCTAACGAGCCACGTGTCCTTCAGCTCCTCGCCCTCGGCCTCCTGCTCCTCCCGCTGCGGATCCTTCTCCTCCGCCTCTTCCAGCTGCTGCGTGTCCCGAGGCTACCCGTGCCTCCTCGCATATCTCGGCTGGTCGTTCAGTGCTCGGCTTCTGGCCCATGCTCTTTGTCCGTGGCTTCGGTCTCCCTGCAGTGGATCTTCGCTGTACCCATCGGTCGTTCAGAGTAGGTATTACTGCGACGGGGCTCGCGGGCTCGTGTGGGGTGGGGTTGGGGTGGCTCGGTCGCAAATCATGGGGGTTTGTATACGGTGGAGGCCCATGCCAAGATCGGGGGCGGCCAAGGGGGGGTGATGACAGTGGGGGGGAAATCATGGCGGGGGCCACGATATGTCCTCAGATTTCATGGCGCTTCTTCTTATTTCGTTACGTCCATGACCTCCCCCTGGGCCGCGCACGTGCCGCCGGCCATGATTTGCGCCCCCCCCTCTTGGACGCCCCCTCTTGGCCGCCCCTGACAAGAAACACCCTGGTTGCCTCCAGGGTGCCCTGGATTTCTTGGGTTTCGATGGTTTTGCTACGGAAAGCGTGACGTTCCTACACTAAGA